GGTTACAGAGAGCAGCGTGTAGGGGAGCGAAACCTCCCTGCTGTTCTGTTTTTATTTCATTATTTGAAGAAAAAGGTGGTGGGATGTGATTTCACTTAACGTGAATGAATACATTCATGCCACCTGCTGCAGCCGAATCACTGCAGGTTTACACCCTGTGACGGAGCAGAGCGGGTCAGTGTTCACTGTTCTCATGCAGAACAAGATTCGATCTTGATCTGTATTTACTCTTGTTATTACAGCCCTTGGGTCCCTGTCGAGGCCCTTGTTACGGTAGGCAGGGTCGCTATGGAGGCCCCGTTCAGGCAGTTACAGAGGCTTTTTTTTATTAAGAAGTTTTCTCTTTTAACCACGACCAGACTTTGTAATAGAAAAGGAAGATGGGATGGACTTCTTGATAGTTCTGGCATTGTCTTTCATTTTAGAATTAGTTTCTTTTTAAGCTGTCCTTTCTTGAAATGTCTGTGCGGTGGCAGGTTCTCTCTTCCTGAACCTTACTGTTTTGTACTATGAAGCGAAGAGTTTATAATTGGAAGAACGGGGCACAAAAAGTAAGTCGGACAGAAAAAGAGCGCTCACCAACTCAAATCAACAGCCCTTGTATTAAAACGTATTTTCATTACTATGATTACCGACAATTTTAAACAGCCCAATGTTAGAACTGCAGGCAGGATTGAAATTAAGTTTGTGCAATTTGTTGTCGCGGTGAAATAAAATGGAAATTTGGAAAAGCATGGTTGTAGGAAAAGATGCAGATAAAATGCCTTTTATCTCTGAGGAGTGAGTGACTGGGCTAGTCGGGGGTTTGTGCAGACCTGTATGGAAATGGGCAAATCAGAAGACAAAATTCTGCTGACAGCAGGGGGTATAATTCACTTAACAAATCCAAGAAATTATTTAAGCGGTTATTATTCTTGTGTGTTTAGACTTTGTATAGGAATAATTGAACTGTCAAATAGGTGTTGCAGTGACATTTGTCCAAAGTTGCTGTATTACACTTCAGCACCGATGCCCCAGTTACGGTGTAAAAAAAACAACAATAAAAAAAGGCCTATTCACTTTTTGAATCATCAAGCTAGCTTAAGACATGGAGTGAAAGGCAATGGTAAAATGCATTTCCCAGTACGCTTTGTGTAACTTTTCAGATACAAGTTGCTTTTTTCTTTAATACACTTGAATATAGTCACATTGGGTGAGATCCTTACCTTGTGTAAGGTAGCATTGTTATATTGAAATCGGTGGCATTTTTTCTTTATACCCACTCATTTATATCTCTTTCAGTAAAATGCTGTTTTTAAAACAATAATCAGTGCGTGGTTATAGTTTCAGGTGTTTAATAGCAGTACTGTTTTTCCTTTTCAGCTGTCACAAGCTTGACGACTCACTGTAGTATAAAGTAAATAATACACATTTTTAAACCAGGGAACTTCTTTGTTCAGAGCGTGCTTTTGCAGTGTAGCAATTTGCATTTTCATTAATAGCCCATTTTTAATGTAATACATATAACCATTTGTAGTCCTTAAACATGGACGGCTTCTACTGTGATAGATAGACGGGATTTTCTTATGCTCTGAGAGACCTTGATGTTCTAGCAGGACTTTAGCTTTTTGTCATGTTTATATTCGATTAAAATACAGCAACATCGTTGGAGTAGCGGTTGCTATAAAAGGGTCTAAACCATCATTTTTCACTTTTGTTGTACATGAGCAGTGAATAACTCTGGCTAACTGTGAGGCTTCACAAACATAGTAATGCCTTCACTTTGTAATTTTTTTTTTTTTCATAAAGTTAGTTCATTTTCTGTGGTCTTCACAGGTGAAAGTCATAAATCAGCCTGAAATGTTGATAGCCACGTAAAGGTATTTATTTTCTTACTGAAATCTTTGCTACTTTAGTTGAAATGTGAAATGTAAGTGATATGCTACAAATTTACTTTGCATTATGTGCCAGAATTTAGTGGCAGTAATCATCAGACATTTAATACAGCACTACTGTAGAGTACCATAAGAATATGCACGCATAATTTAAATGAGCATCAAACTTTGGCATAAATGAAAAGGAAAAAAAAAATTCTTACATCATGCAGACAAAACAAACAGACATATCCTTCCATCTTGTAACAACTAAGATGTCAAAATAGATAGGTTGTTGAGGAAACACACGTCTTCCTTTAACAGATGAGGTGGAATTAAAGCACCTGCAAATTACTGTTGTGGGTATGCTGAGAAGACAGGCTGCAAGGCTGTCATTTCCAGAAGTACAACTTTTTATGGTGATATTTTGGGGAATTGGAGATAAAAATGTCAGTGCCCAGAGAGGTGTGGAGAGAGATGGATGAAATACTCAGCCTGGTCTTCACTTTTGGCATGCTATAGAAGTTTTGCTTGGTTTTTAACTCCTAACACAGAGAGAAATAGATAAACACAGACAATGTTTTAGTTTGTTTTTGTTTTTTGTTTTTTTTTTTTGAAGTGTGTAAGGGTTTAGTCTTTGGGAAGCAGTTTTTAACTTCTTGTTTATTTTGCTTTATGGCACAACAAGCAAATCAATGTTTGATAGTAATGCACATGTTATAAATATCACTGTTATTGGTAGTTGATGTATTTTTAGTATGAATATTGACTGCCCAGTGTTTGCCCAGTTATGTGTATGTGGATATATCTATCTGTCTAAGAGAATACAGAAGATGCAGAGTTTACCAGGTTTTATTAGTCTGGTGAAGAGATCATTTCAATGGCCGAACACGTAATAAATATTAAAAGACTACTGATAGGATCTCTAAGAAGTGTGGGGGGGGAAGCTTCCTTATTTAGTGTCAGAATATATACAGTATTCTCTAAGTATGCATTTACATGTGTGTCTGAGCTCATTAAAATTGTTAATCGCAGAGGAAAGTTCATCATTCTTGCTTTATTAATAACAGGCCAGTACAGTTTTCCATGCTCACTTGAAGCTTCTGTTGATGTCTGTAGCTGTTTTGAGTGTGCCTAGAATGCAGAGTCAGGTCCACTTGAAATACTTTGCATATAAATTAAGTTGCTTTGCTTCATTTAATTGGCTGATCTGGCTTTGCACTAGTGCAAATCCACTGATAATATGGAATTTTGCTGGATTAACACTGGAATACCTGGCACCAACTTTTTACCTTGTATTTAGCAACCTTATGCAGAATTACGATTTTAGTAATCCATGTTTTATGATGAGACAAGAAAAACGTGGTATGATGAATTCCTTCAATAATTACTAGCCAAATAAGGCTTTTTATTTTAGGCAAAAGGCCAATGGTAACTGCTTCAGTGGTGGAAAAATTTTTCAAGTTTTTAAAAATTAGCCATACTTGAACGAGGTGATAATTTCACCGGAAAACATATATCTAGGTCTATCAGGTATGGATGCACAATAGCAAGATAAAAGTGTAACATTTCAAGAAGTTTATTGCTTCGTTGTTTTTTCTACAAAATATGTATAAAACCCAAGAAGTTTTAGAAAAAGTTAATTAAATACTTTGTTTTCCTTATGGGCTACCTATTTTTTCTCCCTCGTCGTTAGAGAGTATCATATTGCAGAATAATGCGTACAGACTGATTAATAATAGGTGCCACCATTTTCATTATATCAAATCTATCCACCCATCCTCTTCCCTCAGAGGAATAACAGATGATTAGTCAACCTCTAAAATTCTGATAGATGTTTACCTTGTATCTAAAATTGCACAGTTATTTCCACTGATGGAACCTTGGAAAGTGAGGCGTGAATCAATACCACTCAAAAAGCCTACATATGTGCTACCTTTACAGTTACGTAGTTGGCTCATAGTCATTTTCTCATCCTGCATGCCTCCAGAAAATATTCTTATCGAACCCTGTAATTCAACCTTTTAAGTGTAGCTTCTTGTTTTTGCAAAGAGATCATTGCACATGGGTTTTCTCCAAATGTGTAAATATAAGGCTCTACCCAGAAAGGTTCCTATTCTCTATCTGGATTAAAATCTCTTTAGTTCCAAAGAAAACAGTTACAGATTTTATTGTCAAACTAAAGCCTTCCCATTCTCTACAGTGGCATAATAAATGTCTTTTCCTCCTTCACAGATCTTTTCATAATTTGACCCATTAACTGAGAACATCAATTTGTTCTCTAAAATACACCAGAAAAGGAAAGCGCATGTAGAAGAATGGTGAACTACTCTCTGCTTGTTTAATCATTTGCTTATATTTGTAATTCTGCAAAGCTCACAGAACGGTTTTTTGGACTTGCACAGTCACAGCAGCCCTGTATAGTAGTGTGTCTCAGACCTACATGCAACTGGTACAGAAGTAATCAGCTGTGGAAAGCAATGACTCTCTTGCGTGCACTATGTGACCGTAAGTTCTCATGCCCAAGGAAAGGCAAAGTGCCCTGTCGGTGTCTCAGGGCAGAGTGAACTCCCTGAAGGCTGTTAAATCCTGGTTTGATCCGAGAGCTGTGCTTGTTTTACATTGTATAACCAATATCGGCTAACTTTTTTTCACTTATTGATGAACAAAACTGCTAGAACCTGAAGTTTGATACAAGGCGAGGGATTATTTATTTAATGTCAGTGTGGTGTCTGCAAGTCTGTAGGAAATTTGTAGACCGTTACTTTATATCAATTGCGTTGCAGTACACGTAGTAAGAAAGTGCTAAAGCAGTGTTCAAACACTGTATACTTTGTACAGTTTGTTTCCCCCCCCACCCCCTTAATCCACAATAGTCAAGCAATGTCTTACTTGGTACATCCATAAATCAAGTGCTGTGCACAGTTAGTAATCGCTTTGGTTTTTTTGTTTGCTTCTTTTCTAGGTTTCTTGGTGTTACACAGTTTTCTCCTACTCATGCCAGAAAAGCCTTTCCTTGCTTTGATGAGCCCATCTACAAGGCCACTTTCAAAATCAGCATCAGGCATCAAGCAACTTACTTATCTTTGTCCAACATGCCCGTTGAAACTTCTGTTTTTGAAGAAGACGGATGGGTTACAGATCACTTTTCACAGACCCCTCTCATGTCCACGTATTACCTAGCTTGGGCAGTGTGCAATTTTACATACCGGGAAACTGTCACCAAGAGTGGAGTAGCTGTAAGTATTTCTAATGTTGTATCAAATACATTTCGTTATTTTGAAAACTCTCACTTTTTGTAAGGGATCATAACGTCAAGTATTTCAAGTATTTTCTTGATTAGCATTTCTAAAATTTGCCAGTTTATTTAATGATAGCGTGTATTGTTTGGGACCTTTTCTGAAGGTTTGGCTAACATTTTTGGTTTGTCTGATACTTTTTGTAACTGGTTAGCTTAGTAGTTGTGGTGTCTGATGACATTTGAAACTTTCAGATATACCATTTCACTTCACTTTCATTTTCTTGGGAAGTTTTGCCTTGTTTTTCCTGTAGCCTGTTTTTCAATGCCAGTGTTCGTGGGACTATTTATTAGAAGAAAGCAGTAGTACTGGCAGCATTGCCAGTCTCCTTCCTTCAATACTGACATGTCCCTTGGTGTGCTGTGTGCTAGCTCAGGAGACTGATGAAGTAATTTCTATCTTAGAGCTCTTGCTTAGGAGTAGGACTTTACAACCTACCAGCTTCCTGTGGAGGTCCGGATTGATGGAAGCACTAACTTTCTGGAGCTGTTGTTTCCAAATACGGCATGATTCCAGGAGTTATGCCATGGGAAAAAAAGAGAGAAAATCCTTTCTTTATGTCAGTTTTGTTTTGGTTTACAAATATCAAGCTCAGAAGTGTATAACAAGCCAAAACATACACGAGAAATGCTGTCAGCTTAATGGAATATTTTACAGCGCTGTCATCTTGATTTTTCAGGTGAACATACAGAGAAACCCTTCCTTCTTAGTTACAGTGAATAACAAAAACAGAACTAGTTCTGGAAGCAGAGGGCTAGGTGGCAGTTTAAGCTGTGTGCCTGAGCAAAGGGAGTGTTTACTTAACTTCTGTAAATGCTCTATGACTTTGTGCTGTAGCCTGGGGGCATGAGGAAGGACTGCAGGCCTCCCTTCCATGGCTGATCAGGTCAGGAAACGTCTCCATAACCACTTTTAGCTAGTCTAAGCATTGGGCTGCTGTGGAGGGAGCTGATCCCACCTTCTCTGAGCCAAAGGTATTCTTTTGCCTTCCTTGTGCCAGCCTTCAGCTCTGTACAGCCGCATGATCTGGCTGAAAACTGACCTGAAAAAAGAAGTGAAAATGTGGTGAGTTTTCAACCAAATCAGTTCTCTGATCCTGCTTTTTGTGTGACTGCCAGAGCCCTAGTACGGATTCAAGGCTGCGCTGATGGCAGGTGAACCCAGGACAGCCCTCTGCATTGGCATCCCTCATTTAGGCCGTACTGAAGTGATCAGAAAATAAGTCTTATTTTTTTCACTGGAACAGCTGAGTAGGACACTAGGGGCCTTTCACTCCTTTACAGCCCTTTCATACCATGGCCAGCAGACTATGACAATACCCTCTGGCCCCATGAAAGGGGAGGAGGAAGCATGGCTAGGAAGTGGTTCTCTGAGGTGCTTTAACCTATGAGTGTAAGGATGTGGGAACCGCTGAGGCCATGCTTGCAATCCCAGTGGTTACCTGCAATGGCTGAAAGCCTTTGGGTTTGTGTTTTTTTTTTGTGGGGGTTTTGTGTGTGTGTGTGTGTGTGTGCTGGTTTTTGTTTTTTTTGGGTGTGGTGGTTTTTTTTTTTTTGGCTTGGTTCTTTCTCTGTCAGTTCAGTGAGTTGAGTTAATTTAGAAAAGGATCTCACAAGTGCCAAGGCAAAGAAGTAAGAGGGGAGAAGTGGATGCCTGGTTTTTAGTGTTGCTGCCAACAGATTAATTATCTGTACAAGAGGGATTGCTCTTGAGACGAGGAATTGGTTGCCTCTGGCTGTTGTAATGGTCATAGAATCATAGAATGGTTTGGGTTGGAAGGAACCTTAAAGATCATCTAGTCCCCCCTGCCATGGGCAGGAACACCTTCCACTAGATAAGGTTGCTCAAAGCCCCATCCAACCTGGCCCAATTTCCAGGGATGGGGCATCCACAACTTCTCTGGGCAACCTGTTCCAGTGTCTTGCCACCCTCACAGTAAAGAATTTCTTCCTAATATCTAATCTAAATCTGCCCTCTTTCAGTTTAAAACCGTTACCCCTCGTCCTATCACTACACTCCCTGATAAAGAAGAGTGTTCACTGGCCTTGTAGAACAGGGTGAGATATCAGGCCATTTCAGGGGAGGTTTAGATTGGATATTAGAAGAAATTTCTTCACTGACAGGGTTGTCAAGCATTGGAATAGGCTGCCCAGGGAAGTGGTGGAGTCACCATCCCTGGAGGTATTTAAAAGACATGTAGATGTGGTGCTTAGGGACATGGTTTAGTGGTGAACTTGGCAGTGCTAGGTTAATGGCTGGACTTGATGATCTTAAAGGTCTTTTCCAACCTAAATGATTCTATGATTCTTACTCCCTATCAAGCAGTACTGAAACAGACTTCTATCCAGGTAGGTGTTGATGATTTTCATTGTAATGTACTCCACCTGCTGAAGGATTTAGTCTTAAGCTAAGAATGGCCTGGTATTTTTCAACTTTAGAAAACACTGGTTACTTGAGGTTCTCCCTTAACTCTAATAAGTTGGAAGTTTTTGGTGCATACTCTAGTAGGCAGGTCTTGTGTTCCTTGTGCTCTAATACAGTGTAATGCTTGCAAATTTGTCCTACATAATACTAGCCTGTTATCTCACTTTGAAATGTCCTAGACTCATCTGAGAAACAGCTGCAAGCAGTTCAACTTCCAATATCGGTGTAAGCAAATACATGGAATGTGGGGGATGGACCTCAGGACCATTAATTTGAAAGATAAAACCTACTTCCTCTTTAACTCATTTTCTTGTAGTGTTATTCAGAGCTCATATCCTGCAGACATTTTCTGCTTGAGTATGTTTGATACCCTGAAGACAGAGGCACACTCATGTCTTACAGACAATAATTGAGAACTTCCTGCTGTTCTCATATTTGGCAAAACTGTTCTCAAGACTTTAGGTTTAACAGGAATCCAAAGAGAGCATTCAAGTGTTAATTTATTAGGAATTTGTGGCTACTAGGGCCTGATAGTTACGCTTGAGTCTGTTGGTTCAGTGCATGTAGGATGTATAAAAGTATACTCCACTGGCTTGACAGTACCATTGTACAGAACTTTGCCAACAATTATGCAAATCAGTGAATAATCTTCGCAAAGACTTGAAGACCAAAAGCCTATATCAGTTGAGATAGTTTCTTATCCCATAAAATTGTTCGGTTAGTCTAGAGTTTTAGCTCTTACTTTTTATAGTACCCCTATCACAGAGGTATGTTAACGCCCAGTAATATCAAAATAGTTTACACTGAGTTATTGGTTAAATATATTTTACTATTTTTTAGTCCATTTGTGATCTGATCATCTTTCATTGTTCAATTTTGTTGAAAGAGTATCTTTTAAGGTATGGACTCATGGCAAACACTTTAGAGCTGTGTTCATTCAGCTGAATTGCTGAGGTAATCCATCTTTTTGAGTCTTTCATACTGCAATACCAGGAGTTCATGGACACTACTTTGAAATTTGAAATTGCCTGAAACCTGGCACATGCAATTCTAAACTTCTTGGTTTCCTCTGAAGCCACTTTTTCACTAAAATTTAGTTGCTCCCATATCCATGGCATTGCATGTAAATGTATGATAAAAGTAAGTTTGCTTCTAAGAATGAATGAATCTTCAGGGAAATTAATCAAACCCCCATACTGAAGCATCTTGATGGGCAATTTCTTGCGTTGGGCAATCTTACTTCAATTAATGCAGTGTATGTTGTATTTATTTTGTAGACATATAGTAGACACCTAAAAGACTTCAGCTTCCATATACTTTTGCTTTTGCTTTGGCACTTTCTTGAACCTCATTTTGGTTCACAAAGCATTTTTTTGTGTGTGCGGGGTGGGGTGTGGGGGCAGGGGCAGGGGGTGGGGGGGGAAGGGGCAGGGAAGTGTCCTTTCAAATTTGGACAGCATTGTAATGATTAAAATCTCACTTCTCTTCCAGCTGACCAGTCTTACTAAACTGCTATGGTCAAGGGTAGATAAACTCCCTGAGGAATAAAAGAAACAGTGAGATAAAAAGCAAGTTTGTTCCTCAAAAATTGTTAAGTGTTAGCTGTTCAGTATTTCTCAAAGAATGACATTGTCCTCAAAATTAATTTTAACCTAAGCGTGAGATTCAAATACAAATCAAGTTATAAATAGAAACTGACTTTTGGAAAGCTTAAGTAGCCGATCAAAATATAATTTTGATATATCCTATATAATTCTTGCAGACAGGAAGATGTTCTATATTTCATACACTAAAATTAATTTGGGAAGGGGAATTAAGACAAGCAGTGCTTTTCTAGGAGCACAGATCAGTGCATGCGAATCATTAGCGTAACTCTTTAGTCCATATGGGTCTGACCAGAATCCCTTCCAAAGCAAGTAATTTAAAAGCAGAGTTGACTTCTTATACGAATTACATATATATAATGTTGTTCAGATTCATCTGGGATTACAGACAATGATTCAAATCACTTGATTCTTGGGGAAAGGACTGTGGTGCAGTCATCTGTGCTGCTGTGGACTAGGGAGCAGTATAGTTCTACCAGGGTGCTGCCTGAGGTAATGCTGTATTGAGGGAGGAGGGATGTCCTTACGAGCAGGCTTAGCTGATCTTTGTATGGCCCTAGACCAACTGCAGCTGTGCCATCTGTAGTTCGTGAAAATCATGGGATATGTGTACTGTTGTCTTTGCACAGTACAATAATCCAGAAAACTCCACTTACCTTCACATGCTTGCTTGCTTGCTTGCTTCTACTCATATTTTGTGTTTCCTAATCATACCTCTTACATATGTTCTTTGTCAGTCATTCTTAAAAGCAACATATTGCTGGCTGGATTGTAATGTCTGTCACATCATCTCTGTGTCTCTTTCCTTCATTATTGTCTTTATCTGTCCTTTCAATCCACCAGGCATTTTCTTACTACTGTTACTTTATTTTTCCCCTGTCTGGATTTATTTTTACTGTACTTCATGTTTAG